AAACCAAAATAATAGTCTCGATTTCATTTGTATTCCAGTTTGATTGATGTTATATGCAATAAATATATATAAATATTAACATATCAAATCGAGACTATTATTTTGGTTTGTTTATGAACATTCGGCTTTGAATTGGAGCGAAATTGGATAATGATCAGAAATATCACCGATGTTATCATAAACAATTGCTGGACATATGGCTAACTCTTTAAGTGATGCTGAAACGACAAAATAATCGATCCATATTTTTTTTAAAGTACTATTCTGATTTAAACCAAATCTAGTAGGTTTATCAGTTGTGACAGGAAACAATAGAGTGGAAGCTGGCTTACCAGCGGTAACCTCAACAATCATTTTCATTAAAGTGTCAGAATAACGGTTCATGTCACCAACACAAACAAATGGATTGTTGTTTTCGGGCCATGGAATATTGCTCAGCAATAAAGTAGCTGCTTTATTGTCATATGGAACATGCACGTTTACAACAGTTAGTCCAGATGTGGTTGTTAAAGTAAGAGCACCTTTACCGGCATCAACGGGACAGGGTGTCCAGAAAACTCGATCATCAGATAGAAGACATTTTTCTGTATTCCTCAGCCCAATTCCTTTATCGGTAGAGATAACGCTTGGATTATAATGGATCGTGACAAGACTCTCATTTAAGTCGATGTAGGGAGAGTCACCCTGTATGTTCTCAATGGATGGTTTACGAGAATATGTGTGTATATGAACCAATGGTTTACTTGCTAAGACTAAGCCAACATGAGAATCGAACATTTCACGTAACATTGGTAGTAAGTCGCCCGGGAACTTCTTGCAGACAGATGAAGCACTCCATGGTAGAATGGTTAATTAACACCTGACTTAATATCTTTATAATGTCATTAAGTCGTAGTTTCTCATTGGACCAGTTTTCACTAATTGAATAACGATTAATCACAAGACTGCTGTTTGATGAATAATTTAACTCATGAATCATATGTAACACGTTCCAGCTAATAATAACGAAGCTTTGTCGTAGTTTTGGAGTCAAGTTGGCAATTTTGTCGTTTGACGACCGTTCGATTGGAGTCGCCATAGACAAAAGAAAAGAAGAATGGAAGATATTATAAATGAGAATTCTACAATTAAATATTATTTTAATTTTCCTGCTTATGAAACGGATAGTCAAATTTAAAAGAAACATAATATAATCTAAGTCATCGAATGAGAATAAAAACAAAACACATTGTTTCTACTGTATATTGCGTTCTATAACAGTACAATTAAATTAAGAGCCAATTCTTCATTCAATCGAACGTAATACTTAAGGTTTCTGTCAATAACCATTAATGAAAAAAAAAATTACAGACTAATCTGGCATAACACTGCTGTCATGTAAAAAGCTCGTATAATGGTTAAGTTTAAATGGGTTACAATGTAATGATAAATTGGTCCATAATATGAGTTTTAGTCAATTGTAAATGAAGTAGTTATGCTCCTAAACTCGATTTATTTATATCCTACAAAAAATATTTCTCACAAAATGATTTTATTATGCATAAACATCATGTGTTGTGAAATTATGAGTGAGTCTTATGTCACCATTTACTCTGTTCTTCTATTTTGCGAAAAAAGAATATCACTTTTCTTTAATGTGTGCGCATAAAAATTTATCATAGTAATCGAAAGAACGACAAAAAAGTCTCAAGGACATAAAAGAATATTTATCGCAGAGTTGCGTTTATAACATTACCAAGTATACGAGAATGAATTTTAGTTACGAACCTATCCTTAATATTAATAAATAAGTTGTTGTTCAATAGTTGTTTTCAATAATACACTTTTCTAAAGATAATTAACGTAAGATATTTTCTAATTAAAACATTAGACTGGATCAGTCTATTCTAATAGTGTAAAAATTAAAACTTGAATTTAACTTTTAATTTTTCAAATTTTACAAGATTTTTTTAAAACCGTCCGATGTTCTTTTGTTCTTTGCGTGTGTGAACGGTGTGTGAAGTGGAAAATGAGAAGATCGTTATATGATGATTGCCTGAGAGTGAGTATGTGACTTTGATGTGAGTAAAGGTATTCTTTTCGTACTTATCGTCATTCTGAAGATAGCTACTGTCTGTGTAGAATACTATTATTTAATGAGTATATAGTTTATCTATTTGAAAGACTGCAAAAGTACCAGTACATATTGGTGAACTATGGACTAAATCATTGACCTACACGTTTACTCAAATATATGAAAGCTATTGTATTGAATCCTAATGAACTATGTTCTGAGATTTAGGTAAATTAAAAGAGACTAGGAAAGAAAGTAGAGAGTTGTTACTATTTAATATTATAGAGACGACATCTACACCATTCCACGGAGAATCTACCGGCTGGTATATGATATTTCAAAATTATGCTTCCAATAATACAGCTTCTCCAGCAAATCTTCGAGGAATCATAATCGAAACAGCTTCAAGTCGGAGAAAACAAAAACAACTTCCTAAGATGAATTGATCATGTATCATATTACGGGTTTAGTAGGATGCTAATTTAAAGCAACAACATTCTAGCTAA